CATAAATCATCAGAATTTCTGCTTCCCTTGAGTATGGCTCCTCTTCCTCTATAATGCATCCATGAGGTGAACCACAAAAAAGTAGGTAGAATAATTGAAAAATGAAATAATCGGAGAGCAGTTTTTTTTTTTTTTAAATTTTTTTTAAAAGTATGGGGCTTGGTCAAAAAATGAGTGCTTACAGTGCTCCAAAGCACAAGACACCAATTTTCTATAATTACGTTCATGCTCTGTTGTATGTGGACATGTTGGATGATTCTAATTATGATTCTTGGGCATTTGAGCTCAAGCTTTGGCTTGATGGGCAGGATTACACCGACCATCTCACCAACTCAACTGAGTCTGTAGCCATCGCTAAGCGCCATCGATGGAAGAAGATTGATGCCCAGCTAAACAACATCATCAAATCTACTATTCACCCTTCATTTAAGCAGATCTTTTGTGCTCACGTCCAGTGTTGTTAAAACGTAGTGTCGAAACGGTCGAAACGTACGATTCTACGTTTTTTGCCTAAAAAACGTGTTAGGTTGCTGAAACGCAAAATGGGTTGAAACGGCGAGTCAACTCGGTTGACTTGGCGAGTTAACCGAGTTGACTCAGTTTTCAAAAAAATAAAAATAAATATTGGGCCGGACTGAGTGCGTTTTGGGTCTATAAAATAAAATAATGACTTTTTTTTGTTTTAAAAAAGGAAACACCATGTTTTAATACCCGATTGTATCTTCTGTCTACTTCGTTTGGTTTTTGGATCTTCTGTCTACTTCTACTCTCTCCTAGTCGCAAGCGGTTGACGGTGGACGGTAAATCAGATTCGGACTTCGGACAAATCAAGCGGTGGACGGTGGTCTTCTACTCTCTCCTACTTCTATTTTCTGATCTCATTTTTTTGGGGCTTCGGACTTCGGTCTTCGGACGGTAATCTTTTTTTTTTTCCTATTCTTCTCTTTCCTATTCTGATATGTTTCTCTCCTAGTCTTTTTATCTCATATTTTTTTTTTTTGGATCGTTTCTTCCGCTTGTTTTTCCCAGTTTTATTTTTAATCAGATTCGGTCTTTAATCTTGTTTTAACCTCATTTACAGATTGACGGTAGTCTCTTGTTCTTTATTTTTTTTATTTTTGGATCTTTTCCAGTTTACGGTAGCCCATTTTAATTTTATATGATAAATATAATAATCATAAAAAAATATATATGATTGTTTCTGGCCATTTTTATTTTATAGAAAAAATTATAAAAAATAATTATATATTTCTCTGAATTTTATATGTAGTTCTGCGTTTATTATGCACATAATAAGGCTCTATCTATGGATTCTGTTTGTTCATTGTATTATCTATTATTTTTTGATTGAAATTTGAAAGCTTAGAACTGAGATCATTTCTTTGAATTTTGATTGAATATAGTTTGAAATCATATGGCTTCATCAAGTGCTGTTGGTAGTAGTAGCAATCCGGCTTCTATTAGTGTAAGTAACACTACTATTGGAGGGAGGAAATTGTCTAGAAATGCTCCTGGAAATAAGTTAGATCCTGGATGGAAGCATTCAATTGAAGTTCCAGGAACAAAAAAGCTTAAATGCAAGTATTGTCCCAAAATAATGTCTGCTGGAGTTTTTCGTGTGAAGCACCATTTGGCAGGAACATCTAAAGATGTTGAACCATGTATAGCGGTGCCAGATGAAGTAAAAATTGAGATGTTGAATCTTCTTATTGGAGGAGCACATCAAGGAAAATCATTGAACTAAAATTTGGGGTGCAATGTGCAAGAAGTACAAGAGGAAGTTGTTAGTGGTGGCTCTGATATTTTCAAGAAAAGCAGAACATCTCCTCCTATTACCCTCAATACCATATTCAAGAAGAACTTGAGGGAGGAGGCATGTCTTGACATTTGTACCGCTATGTATAATAATGGAATTCCTTTCAATTATGTGAATAGCGATGATTTCAAAAAGATGTGTGAATCAATTGCTAAGCATGGACCGGGTTTCAAGCCACCATCTTATCATCAGTGTAGAGTGAAATACTTGAAGCAAAAATATGATATGACAATGGCTGTTGTTGAAACACATAAGGCTCTATGGAAGAAAACTGGATGCACAATAATGACTGATGGATGGACGATAAAAGAAGAAGAACAATAATCAACTTTTGTGTGCATAGCTCTATGGGAATTGTGTTCTTTAAGTCCATTGATGCTTCTCACATCAGCAAAACAGCTGACAAGATTTTTAAGATGATTGATGAAGTGGTACAAGAGATTGGTGAAGAAAATGTTGTCCAAGTTGTGACGGATAACGCTGCAAATTATAAAGCTGATGGGGCTTTGTTGATGGAGAAAAGAAAGAAAATATATTGGACACCTTGTGCTGCTCACTGCATTGATTTGATGCTGGTAGATTTAGAGAAGAAAATACCCCTTCATAAAGACACAATTTATAAGGGGAAAAAAATTACAACTTATATCTATTCAAGAACATCTCTCATTTCAATATTGCACAGCTTCACCAGTGGCAAAGATTTGATTAGACCCGCCATGACTCGCTTTGCCACATCCTATTTGACTTTGAAATGCCTCCATGACCATAAACTTCCTGTAAAAAGAATGTTCATGTCAGATGAATGGAAGAATAGCAAATATGCAAAGTCAACAGATGGAAAACTTATTGAAAATGCAGTGATGGATAAACCCTTTTGGAAAAGGGTTGAGATTTGTTTGATAGGGGCACTTCCTTTGATTGAAGTGCTTCGGTTAGTTGATTCAGATGATGCAGCCATGGGCTCCATTTATGAGGCAATGGATCGTTCCAAGGAGAAAATTGAAGAGGATTTAAAAAAAAACCTTCATTGTAAGTTATCAATTAATTTGTTTAATTCAAAGTTATAGACATTTTTAACTCAAAATTAATTCAATTGTTATCTTTTTATTTTTTTAGTTATCAACCTATTTGGGATGTCATTGATGCAAGATGGGAGAGGCAGTTACATAGGCCTTTGCATGCTGCAGGCTATTACCTTAACCCAAAACAACATTATTGTCCTACATTTAAAGTTGATTATGAAGTAAAGGTTGGAATATATGATTGTATAAAAAGGATGGTGGGAGATATAGCTGTAGAAAGAAAAATTTGATGAACAACTTGAGGAATTCAAGTATCGTAGAGGTTTTTTTGGGTCTACCTTTGCTAGGGATGGAGTTGAAACCAAGAGTCCAGCAGCATGGTGGGAATCTTATGGTGATGGTGTTCCAGAGCTCCAAAAATTGGCTATCTGTGTACTTAGCTTGACATGTAGTTCCTCTCGGTGTGAGCGGAATTGGAGTGCTTTTGAGATGGTATAATTTTTTAATATGAATTGCATTTAATTTCAAAATATGATATTAGTCTAGTATTAATTATTTTCTTGTATTTGTTTAGGTCCACACAGAAAAGAAATCGTTTGATGCAGGAGACAATGAATAATGTTGTTTTTGTGATGGATAACTCAACATTAGGCAAGAAAAAACATAGAGAATCTCCTCGAATTGATTATAACTTCGATGAAATTGAGTCGGATGATGAATGGATTGTGGAACCAACATATGAAGAAACTTTGGAAGATGTTGAAGAAGATCAAGATCCCCTTGGCTTGGATGATCCAAATGAAGAAGAAGGGGACTTGAATGATTTGGAAATTCCGGAATTTATTAGTGGAGGAGGAGACGAAGAAGATGATATTGACTTAGATTCCGCTGATTTAGATTAGAGATGTTGATCTCTTTAATAATTTTATTGCCTTAGTATTTTGATTTTAGTATGTATTATGATGACTAAGTTCAAAATTAATTTTTATTTCCTTAGTGTTTGGACTTATGTATTGGTGTGTTTTGGTTATATGTTGGATATTTTATTTTTTTGGGTATGTAGTAAACTCTTACGTTTCGTTTACGTTTCACGTTTTTACGTTTTTGCTCACCCCTACTGTTTCGGCGTAGACTCTACGTTTTAACAACATTACTCACGTTACTTGTGTATTTGTTTGGTGTCAGGCCAAGGTAGTATATACTAATGACACTCGACGTCTCTATGGAGTTTGTCAAAATTTGATAGATGTTATCGCCCCTCGGCATTTTGGTGGGTCTATGTTTGCCTACTAGGGGAATGTTAATGGCTTGATCCACGATTTCAATAAGCTTCTACCCTTGCTGAGGATCGTGCTACGAAACTTAAGCAACAAAACACTTTCTTTTTTTTATTTATGTTTTTGGCCCTTTATGGCTTGCCCTATGAGTACTATGCCAACTAGGATTCAATTTTGGGCTCTACTGAGGTCTCAACTCTGAACTCTGTTTGTTCTACCTTGCTTAGGTTCCTATTCTTTTTTCCAAGAATTGTTCTCATTGCACTCATTACAACAAGTTGGGCCATATTGCTGATCTGAAAGGGTCTTCGGACTTTGAAGAGTTGCTGGTAGGATGCACAACAAGGATGGCTTGCCAGTAAGATGCGCGACATGGAAGGTATCGGTTAGGTGGCGGGCCTAGCGGGATTAGGGTTTTGCGGAAACGAGTTTTCTAGAATGTAAGCTCTAGTACCAACTTAGAATTGAGGAATTGTGTGTCTAATGTGATCAGACAAGGCTTATATTTATAATAATAGACAAGGCTTATATTTATAATAATAGAGTACATGGGCTTGGCTCTATTTATACCATGTTGGACTAATAAAACAATGACAAAAAAAATATATTATAACATTCTGACACTTAATATAAATAGGTGTCAGTACTTTCTATTTCACATCACCAAATCAATCCAATATCATATTATTCATATTTTCATTTCCTACTCCCCTACCTTAATCCTCTAATTTCAACATTTTGTATTCATTTTCCACTAGTCGGGTTTAATTTGGGAGTGTTTTTTTTTTTTTCTCTGATTGTATTGGAAAAATGTTTAGCTGTGAAATACTGTTATACTACTTTCTAATGAATTAAAATCATTACTTTATATTATCTTTCTTTCAGCTTACGATCATCAATGAAAGGATATCTTGATGCTTATAACCCAAGTAGCTCTGCCACACCTGCTGGGATTTTTATCAATCGAGTTGAGGTGAGGGTCTGTCTGTATTTGAACAATCATATTAATGTTAGGCTTTCAGGAATAAAATTGAAATTGCAAAATGAGGCAGTTAATATTTTAGTTTCAAGTTCTGGATCAGTTAGACATAAGCTAGGTTTGGTCCAATGGAAAAAGATCCAATTGAACATACTTATCTTTTATCCTTTCATATATAGAAACAGTAATTGAATCCTCATATTGCTTTGCTGTTTGGTTGTGTAATTGTCATAAGAAGTTGAAAACATTTTCAATTTTTTGCTGTACTGAGATGGTACCATTGTACCATCACTTATATTTGCTTATAAGTTTGTCTTATTTGTATTTAGAGTCCTCTGGGCTTTCATGCTTAAATTTCTTATTCCCTGAAGCATATAAGTCAGAACTGGATGAAATCTACATGCGCAAAACTCCACTACAACTTCTTGAATATGTGAGCTTATATTTCTGCTTTTAAAGATGGTAAATTTGTTGATTCTCTCTTTTGTTTGGTGTTTAAAGGAGGATGATTTTGAATGCGTTCCAACATCTCTCATGGAGCAAGTTCTCAAATTTTTAAATGTAAGTACTTTGTCATACTTTCCTATCTAAAAGGCCATGTTTTCTGTTTCTTCTTGTAAGTTTTTCTATCCCATTATTGCAGGATGCTAGAGAAGACCTACGGTGTTCAATGGCAAAGGATGTGGTGACTATCAGGAATGAGACTCTGAAGTTCAGTGGAGATAAGAATTACATGGAAAATCTCTCTGGTGGAATTGAAGGAACCCTGCTTAAAGATATGTCTTCAGATTTTCAGAAAAAGGTTACTCTTAACAAGCATGACAAGGGGGACACAGAAGCTGGTTTCCTTCATGGCAATGACGAAACCTACAGAAAAATGGCTGGTATGTTTAAATTTGTTCTGCAACTAATGAAGGGATGGAAAAGGAAATGACAATCTGTTACTTTCGTCATTTTGTTTTTGTTGTGTCATAATGACCATTTTGTTTTGTCTGATGTCTGTGTTCCCAACTTCCCAGTGTGTGTGTGCTTCATAGTTTTGTATCTACCATAATTTAATGTGAATATGAACGTGACAGAGATAGAAAGGGATGATCTCCTTCTGGACCGATTATTGCAGTCAAGAAGATCATCTCTAGATCGAGTTAAGGCAAGTCGACAGGATTTTATCCTCCTAGCATCACTGCTTGACCGCATTCCCAATCTTGCTGGTTTGGCGCGTACATGTGAGGTAAGTTACTCATTCTGCTTCCTTTCTCAATCTTATCTATACTAATATTTTATTTTATTTTCTTTTCTTTTTCCTTTTTTCCCAAGAAAAACTTTATTTTCTTTACTCCAAATGTTGTTTAAAACAGGTTTTTGGAGCATCAGGGCTAGCCATTGCCGATTCAAACATCATAAGCGACAAACAGTTCCAACTAATCAGGTTTTGATAGTAGATCTTCTGTTTTTTCCCATTATACATGTCACAAATTTTGAGGAATGGACTTACTACGTGGGTTCTGCTTAAATGTCAAAAGGATATACTGTTGGCCCAATAACAATTCTAAATGCTCAAATCTTTAGAGAACAGGGATTTTTGATGATGGATCAGTGATTTCTTATATGTGGCTTTGAGCTGATAAGTGATTGCAAAGTAGAAATAAGAATGAGTGTACTTGATATTTCACATTCTTTAAACTTATATAATGGACATATTGGGATATTATTTATTGAAATTTGTTGGCAATGGGAACAGTCAAACACAAACACTCATCCTTAACTTCATGCCTTTTCATATGCCCATTGACATTCACTTGTTTAACAGATCTTCAATCTATCCTCGTCAATAAAATCTTCCTTTTCGCCAAAAGAATCCTTCTAAAGTGACAAGATTATGGATTTGTGGTTGTGTTTCATGGTAAAGAAATTTATTAATTAGAAAAATTAGAGTTTTAGACAGGCTCTTGTCAATAAAAGATTATAAATACACGTGATTCGAATGTGTATTGGGAGTCCAAGTTGGATGCTCAATATCCTGCCCTTTTTTAAGTTGTCTACTTAATGTTTCATAATTGTTTAGGACATCATATGTTAGAAATAATATTAGTCTATTATTATTAGATTAGTCTAGATTGTGGGCTTAGCCCATTAGGTCTTTTAGCATTAGGTCTTTTAGTCTCTATAAATAGAGAGCCTTCTTGTACAGTTATACACACTTGAATATACAATAATATTCAGATTCAATTTGGTATCAGAGCTCTCAACCCGAGGGCTCTGCTTCCGCATATACATATCTTTTCCTTTCTTATTTACTGCCGTGCATCATACCGGCACCCTTTTACCGCCGTGCATCATACCGGCAACCTTTTTCAACACTCCGAACATTGTTAGACCCTTTTTCGATCTCAGATCGTCATCCTCCTTCATTATTTGACCGGAAAACACTGTTCACATCACCAGAAACACTGTTCCGTCACTGTTCATCACTGTTCCGGCCACCTTTCCGGCGAGAAACCACGCGATCAGGCTCCCCTCACGCCGGCGACCGTTTCTGTCCAAGACCCGTCCTAAACGGCCGCAGACCGCGCCCCCACGCGCCACCACAGCTGTCTGCGCGTGGGCCTCACGCGCCACCTCTCTCCGGCGCGTGTGCACTGTTCCGGCCACTTTTTCCTGCCAAACCAAGGCAGACAGGCTCGCCTCTGCCTCCTCCTTAAGATCTGGTTTACCGGTCAGGGCCATGACACACATCTCACCACTAAGACGACTGATATATCCAAAGATCAGACGTCTGAATGGGAGAAAGTTGATGCTCAGCTCCTCAGTATTCTTTGGCAATCCATTGATTCATCTCTTATCAATATTTTCATTCCCTTTGGGACCTGCTATGATGTGTGGACGGAAGCCAAAAACCTCTACACTAATGATATTCAACAACTTTATTCCATTGTCTCCCAGATGATGGATTTGCGCAAATCACCCGAAGCTCGTATGGAAGTTTATGTTGGTAAGGTTCGTTCTTTGATGCATGAATTTTTGGCTATGTTATCTTATGCTGCGGATGCTACAGTGTACAGGACGCAAGTGGAGCGTCTCTTTACGGTTGTGACTCTCTCTGGTCTCCCTGACGGATTAGAAAGTGTTCGTGAGAACTTTCTAACCAGTACTGAGATTCTCAACATATCCCATACCTTTCAGCGCCTTCTGAATCTTCAAGATAAGGTGGCCCCCGCACACGTGCCAGCTACTGACTCTATTGCTCTCTTTTCTGATTCTGCTGCTTTAGTCTCTCGTGGTAATTGGAACAATGGTGGAAGCGGTCGTGGTCGTGGCCGCGGACAAGGCGGTCGCGGACAGACGACGTCATATGGACAGGGTGGCCGAGGACAAAGGCCTCGGTGTAATTATTGCCAAAATCTGGGCTACATTGAAGAACGTTGCTACATAAAGTACCCTCACTTGAAGCCACCACATATGAACTTTGCTCAAACAGATGTTGTGCCGCCCTCTACCGGATCAGTGACTATTTCCGCTGCAGATTATGAGGCCCTTCTCCAGAAGAGTTCTTCTCAGCCACCTGCTCCAGATACTGGTAATCATGTTGCTTGTTTTTCTCAATCGTCTCTTGGACCCTGGATAATAGACTTAGGTGCTACAGATCATCTTTGTGGTAATAAGGATCTCTTTACTTCCCTTACCTTTTCTAATAATCTTCCCTCTGTTACTCTTGCTGATGGCACCAAGGCTCTTGCTCGTGGCATTGGACAAGCCAAACCAACTCCCTTCTTGACTTTAACCTCTGTTTATTACATCCCTGACATTCCTTTTAATTTAATTTCTGTTAGTCAATTGACCCATTCTCTTTCTTGCTCTATCACCTTTTCTAAACAGTCTTTTTCTATGCAGGATCCGGGTACAGGGAAGACGATTGGAGCAGGCGGTGAGTCACGAGGTCTCTACTATCTGCATGCACCCTCTGCTCCAGTTGCATGCTCTCTCACAGAGTCTCCTGAGCTTCTCCATAGCCGTCTGGGTCATCCAAGTCTCTCGAAGCTTCAGCATATGGTTCCTTTTTTGTCAGGTCTTAAGTCTTTGAATTGTCAGTCTTGTCAGCAGGGAAAGCATACTCGCTCTTCCTTTGCTAGTAGAGTCAATAAGAGAGCTGCTGCTCCCTTTTTCTATTGTTCATTCTGATATTTGGGGTCCGAGTCGGAGTATGTCAGTTTTGGGTTTTCAGTATTTTGTAACCTTTATTGATGATTTCTCCCGTTGCACTTGGGTTTATTTAATGAAAAATCGTTCCGAGTTATTTTCAATTTATCAAAAGTATTGTGCAGAAATAAAAACTCAATTTGGTGCTTCTATTCAAATCTTGCGCAGTGATAATGCAAAAGAGTATGTGTCTCTTTGAATTTTCTAAATTTCTGGATACATATGGGATGATACACCAGACTACCTGTCCCCACACTCCACAACAAAATGGAGTCGCTGAACGTAAAAATAGACATCTAGTTGAAACTGCACGTACCCTTCTCATTCATATGAACGTCCCACTCCGTTTTTGGGCAGATGGTATTATCACCTCATGTTTCCTTATCAACCGCATGCCCTCTTCTGTGCTAAATAATGATGTTCCCCACAGTATTTTGTTTTCCGGAGCACCTTCTTATCCTCTGCCTTTACATATTTTTGGCTGTACTTGTTTTGTTCATGATCTTACTCCAGGTAAAGACAAGTTGACATCCAAGGCCTTCAAATGTATTTTCCTTGGGTATACACGTTTTCAAAAAGAGTATCGTTGCTATTCTTCTGATCTCAAGCGTTATATCGTTTCTGCTGATGTCACTTTCCTTGATCAGCAGCCTTTTCACTCTACTCCGTCTCCAGGGTCACAGGTTGATCAGGTCCTTCCTGTTCCTTTTCTTAACTTGTCTTTACCAGCTGCAGGTGACCCTATTCCAGAGGAGCAACCCATTACCTCCATACCTGCAGATCGTCCTCTCCTCACATACCAGCGTCGTCAGCCTGCACCTCCTCCGACTTTGCCTCTTGAGGACTCATCGCCCTTTCCCGTCGGCTCTTCTCCTCCGGATCCTCCATCAGAGACTCCTTCCATTGCCCTTCGGAAAGGTATTCGATCCACTCGAAATCCTCATCCCCTTTATTCTTTCTTGAGTTATGACAGACTTTCTTCACAACATTTTACTTTTGTTTCTAGTCTCTCTTCTGTTTCCATCCCTAAAACCACAGGTGAAGCACTATCTCATCCAGGGTGGCGCCAGGCGATGCTTGATGAAATGCAGGCACTTCACTCCAATGGCACTTGGGGTCTTGTTCGTGCTCCTCCCGGGAAATCTGTTGTTGGTTGTCGATGGGTGTTCACAGTTAAAGTTGGTCTTGATGGCACTGTTGATCGCCTTAAAGCTCGCTTAGTGGCCAAGGGATACACACAGATCTTTGGTCTTGATTATGGGGATACCTTTTCTCCTGTTGCTAAGATGGCTTCTGTTCGCCTGTTTCTTGCCCTTGCCGCCATTCATCACTGGCCCCTTCTCCAACTTGATATTAAGAATGCTTTTCTACATGGTGACTTGCAGGAGGAAGTTTATATGGAGCAACCACCAGGTTTTGTTGCTCAGGGGGAGAGTTCTGGAATGGTATGTAAACTTCGGAAATCTTTATATGGCCTGAAGCAATCTCCCCGGGCCTGGTTTAGCCGCTTTAGTTCAGTTGTTGAATCCTTTGGCTTAATCAGAAGCAAAGCCGATCATTCTGTCTTTTACCGACATAGCTCTTCTGGCCAGTGCATTTATCTCCTGGTCTATATAGATGACATTATCATTACAGACAGCGATCAGACCGGGATTGATCAGTTGAAAGAGCATTTATTCAATCAATTTCAGACCAAAAATCTTGGCAGACTTCGATATTTCTTGGGGATCGAAGTTGCACAGTCTAGGCGGGGCATTTTCATCTGTCAGAGGAAGTATGCACTGGATATCCTAGATGAGACTGGCATGTTAGGCTGTAAACCCATTGATACACCTATGGACCCCAATGTTAAGTTATTACCAGGAAAGGGGGAGCCACTGCCAGATCCTAGTCGCTACCGCCGACTAGTTGGAAAATTGAATTATCTTACTGTGACAAGGCCAGATATCTCCTTCGCAGTGAGTGTGGCAAGTCAATTTGTTGATTCTCCCTATGACTCCCATTGGGATGCAGTTATTAGAATTCTCCGATATATTAAAAAGGCGCCAGGAAGAGGTTTATTATACACAAATAAAGGGAGTTCAGAGATCTCTAGTTATTCAGATGCTGACTGGGCAAGTTCTCCTTCTGATAGACGATCCACCTCAGGGTATTGTGTTCTCTTCGGAGGAAATTTGATCTCTTGGAAGAGTAAGAAGCAAACTGTGGTCACCAGATCCAGTACGGAGGCAGAATATCGGGCAATGGCAAATGCAACCTGTGAGCTCATCTGGCTGAGACAATTGCTTAAGGAACTCCATCTCTGTGAACAACGGCCTATGAAGCTCATTTGTGACAATCAAGCCGCTTTGCATATATCCTCTAACCCAGTATTTCATGAGTGGACCAAGCATATAGAAATTGACTGTCATTTTGTTAGAGAAAAGATCCAGTCAAGGGAGATCGAGACAACATTTGTCAATTCCAATGATCAACTTGCGGATGTATTCACTAAAGCTCTTAGAGGTCCCCGAATATATCATATTTGTAACAAGCTGGGAACTTTTGATATATAGGCACCAGCTTGAGGGGGAGTGTTAGAAATAATATTAGTCTATTATTATTAGATTAGTCTATATTGTGGGCTTAGCCCATTAGGTCTTTTAGCATTAGGTCTTATAGTCTCTATAAATAGAGAGCCTTCTTGTACAGTTATATACACTTGAATATACAATAATATTCAGATTCAATTTTTGTGGGGAACATCATTATTTAGCACAGAAGAGGGCATGCGGTTGATAAGGAAACATGAGGTGATAATAGCATCTGCCCAAAAACGGAGTGGGACGTTCATATGAATGAGAAGGGTACGTGCAGTTTCAACTAGATGTCTATTTTTACGTTCAGCGACTCCATTTTGTTGTGGAGTGTGGGGACAGGTAGTCTGGTGTATCGTCCCATGTGTATCCAGAAGTTTAGAAAATTCAAGAGACACATACTCTTTTGCATTATCACTGCGCAAGATTTGAATAGAAGCACCAAATTGAGTTTTTATTTCTGCACAATACTTTTGATAAATTGAAAATAACTCGGAACGATTTTTCATTAAATAAACCCAAGTGCAACGGGAGAAATCATCAATAAAGGTTACAAAATACTGAAAACCCAAAACTGACATACTCCGACTCGGACCCCAAATATCAGAATGAACAATAGAAAAAGGGAGCAGCAGCTCTCTTATTGACTCTACTAGCAAAGGAAGAGCGAGTATGCTTTCCCTGCTGACAAGACTGACAATTCAAAGACTTAAGACCTGACAAAAAAGGAACCATATGCTGAAGCTTCGAGAGACTTGGATGACCCAGACGGCTATGGAGAAGCTCAGGAGACTCTGTGAGAGAGCATGCAACTGGAGCAGAGGGTGCATGCAGATAGTAGAGACCTCGTGACTCACCGCCTGCTCCAATCGTCTTCCCCGTACCCGGATCCTGCATAGAAAAAGACTGTTTAGAAAAGGTGATAGAGCAAGAAAGAGAATGGGTCAATTGACTAACAGAAATTAAATTAAAAGGAATGTCAGGGATGTAATAAACAGAGGTTAAAGTCAAGAAGGGAGTTGGTTTGGCTTGTCCAATGCCACGAGCAAGAGCCTTGGTGCCATCAGCAAGAGTAACAGAGGGAAGATTATTAGAAAAGGTAAGGAAGTAAAGAGATCCTTATTACCACAAAGATGATCTGTAGCACCTAAGTCTATTATCCAGGGTCCAAGAGACGATTGAGAAAAACAAGCAACATGATTACCAGTATCTGGAGCAGGTGGCTGAGAAGAACTCTTCTGGAGAAGGGCCTCATAGTCTGCAGCGGAAATAGTCACTGATCCGGTAGAGGGCGGCACAACATCTGTTTGAGCAAAGTTCATATGTGGTGGCTTCAAGTGAGGGTACTTTATGTAGCAACGTTCTTCAATGTAGCCCAGATTTTGGCAATAATTACACTGAGGCCTTTGTCCTCGGCCACCCTGTCCATATGACGTCGTCTGTCCGCGCCCGCCTAGGCCATATGATGGCATGGGCCCGCGACCGCCTTGTCCGCGGCCACGACCACGACCGCGTCCACCATTGTTCCAATTACCACGAGAGACTAAAGCAGCAGAATCAGACAAGAGAGCAGTAGAGTCAGTAGCTGGCACGTGTGCGGGGGTCACCTTGAAGATTCAGAAGGCGCTGAAAGGTCTGGGATATGCTGGGAATCTCAGTACTGGTTAGAATGTTCTCACGAACACTTTCTAATCCGTCAGGGAGACCAGAGAGAGTCACAACCGTAAAGAGACGCTCCACTTGCGTACTGTACACTGTAGCATTCGCAGCATGAGGTAACATAGCCAAAAATTCCTGCATCAAAGAACGAATCTTACCAACATAAACTTCCATACGAGCTTCGGGTGATTTGCGCAAATCCATCATCTGGGAGACAATGGAATAAAGTTGCTGAATATCATTGGTGTAGAGGTTTTTGGCTTCCGTCCACACATCATAGCAGGTCCCAAAGGGAATGAAAATATTGATAAGAGATGAATCAATGGATTGCCAAAGAATACTGAGGAGCTGAGCATCAACTTTCTCCCATTCAGACGTCTGATCTTTGGAAATATCAGTCGTCTTAGTGGTGAGATGTTTGTCATAGCCCTGACCGGTAAACCAGATCTTAACGGAGGTAGACCAGGTCTTGTAAGTGGCAGATCCGGTCAATTTCAGAGTTGTGATAGATGGAATAGCACTTGAAATGATGTCGGAAGGATGTTTACTGGTTCCTTCCATCAGAAACAGCAATCAGATGACCAAAAAACGGTAAAAGTCACGCGAAAAAGGCAACAAAGTAGCAACTTTTGCACTGGAAACCCCCGAACGGAAGAGACCCACAACGAACGGGCACCGGATCTGGAAGGAGGAGGCAGAGGCGAGCCTGTCTGCCTTGGTTTGGCCGGAAAAGGTGGCCGGAACAGTGCACACGCGCCGGAGAGAGGTGGCGCGTGAGGCCCACGCGCAGACAGCTGTGGTGGCGCGTGGGGGCGCGTGCTGCGGCCGTTTGGGACGGGTCTTGGACAGAAACGGTCGCCGGCGTGAGGGGAGCCTGATTGCGTGGTTTCTCGCCGGAACCGTGATGAACAGTGTTTCTAGTGATGTGAACAGTGTTTTCCGGTCAAATAATGAAGGAGGATGACGATCTGAGATCGAAAAAGGGTCTAACATTGTTCGGAGGGTTGAAAAAGGTTGTCGGTATGATGCACGGCGGTAAAAGGGTTTGCCGGTATGATGCACGGCAGTAAATAAGAAAGGAAAAGATATATATATGCGGAAGTAGAGCCCTCGGATCGAGAGCTTTGATACCAAATTGAATCTGAATATTATTGTATATTCATGTGTATATAACTGTACAAGAAGGCTCTCTATTTATAGAGATTAAAAGATTTAATGCTAAAAGACCTAATGGGCTAAGCCCACAATCTAGACTAATCTAATAATAATAGACTAATATTATTTCTAACAATAAGTATATGTTGAGATATATAGTCCCACGTTGGTTGTATGTGCAACTAATGTGGAGTTTATAAGGTCTTGGGCACTCCCACCCTTAGAGCTAACTTTTGGGGTGGTGTATCCCAAGGTTCTTTACATGGTATCAGAGCCTCGCCGCCCAGTTTGGAAGAACTACATGGTATTTTGAAATACCTCATTAATGACCTTGTAGTCACTTAAGCTCTGATACCATGTAAAGAACCTTGGGATATACTACCCCAAAAGCTAGCTCAAAGAGTGGGAGTGCCCAAGGCCTTATAAAGGCCACATTAGTTTCCCACATAACCAATGTGGGACTATATATCTCAACACGCCCCCTCACGCAAGAGCCCTTTAGGCTAGAAGCGTGGAAATTGCACTGGCCCAATTTTTGGTTTACCTTTTTGTACTTTTTATTTTTAATTCCACTTTAAAGTGGGGGTGCAGTGAGGATCGAACTTGTGACTTTATAGTCACTCAAGCTCTGATACCATATAAAGAACCTTGAGATACATCACCCCAAAAGCTAGCTCAAAGAGTGGGAGTGCCCAAGGCCTTATAAAGGCCACATTAGTTGCCCACATAACCAATGTGAGACTATATATCTCAACACGCCCCTTCACGCAAGAACCCTTTAGGCTAGAAGCGTGGAAATTGCACAGGCCCAATTTTTTTGCATGGGTGAGGCTACATTAATGATTTTATATATATCTCAACAGTATAACACGTCTTTTAATGTGTGTCCACTGGCTCTCCATGCTTAGTACCTGTTAAATATGGTTATTCCCCCCAGTACTACACATTTTTTTATTACAGAATTAGTACGTCACTGTAGAGTCATGCAATTAGGTAATATGCTTTAGGCTTCTCTTTGTTTATTAATTATAGATAAACCAGTTTCATCTTTTTGAGTTCAGATTTCCTATGTAATAACTTTTCCAGAGAGAAACAGAAGAAATAAGAGGATGAACCTGGAGCAGTAGGTTACCTTCGCTAGTCGGGGTTTAATGAGATGTTTATTTATTTATTTAAAAAAAAAAATTATATAGAATGTTGAGCCCTTCATGATAGCAGCACTTTTCATGATGTATGTTATAGAAAATATTTTAATTCATTGCACTATGATTTTGTTATTCTTTCACCAAATTATTGTTTACAGTGTGACAGCTGAAAAGTGGGTTCCTATAATAGAAGTCCCGGTAGATAGCATAAAGGCATACTTAAAGAAAAAAAAGAGAGAAGGATTCTCCATCTTGGGTTTGGAACAAACCGCAAACAGTGTGCCCCTTGATCAGTATATCTTTCCAAAAAAAACGGTAAGTTGTTCTGACCTTCTAGTTCTTTCAATATTTTGTTGTAAGATCGAGGACATGTCACATTAGTTGGGGACACTGCAATAATAGTCAAATTTCCTCCTTACATACTTTTTTGGACTTATTTTACTTTGGTTCCTCACTCCCTCTTGGATTTTCTTCTGTAAGATCTCTTTCTCTATATGATAGAATAGTTATTTTCATGGAATGTCAAAATTTCTGAGTAGAAAATATTTAAGTAAATGAGAATAATAAATTTTACCTGCTAAATTACTGGCCAATTAGTCGCCTAATGGGCAGGTGAATTGTCTGAGGTTTGCATCTTCAGGTTCCATTGAATGGCCTTGTGGAATGATTACTTGATGGGAGCAAATTTTTCTTTCTGCATGCTACATGTGTAGATAAATTGCACCCTTTTTGAAATTGCACCCTTTTTGGTCACCTTTTTTTTTTAAAAAAAAAAAAGAGAAGTCGTGGATTGAAATTGTAGCTTTCTCGAGTAAAAATTTGTTACGATCAAATTGCAAGGAATGAGACTTGGTTTCCAATATTGGAAACATAAGGTTCTGGTGTGGGATTTATATGGACTTTGAACTCTCCTATCTTACGAGCTAGCTTTTGGGGTGAGGTTCTCGAGTAAAAATTTGTTACGATCAAATTGCAAGGTATGGGACTTGGAGTCCAATATTGGAAACATAAGGTTCTGGTGTGAGATTTATATGGACTTTGAACTCTCCTACCTTACGAGCTAGCTTTTGGGGTGAGGTTCTCCCATGGGTTGTATCAATTGGTATTAGAGCCATCTATTATGTCTCCCACTTGCAATCGAGTGGAGCGGGTGGTGATGCTGGGATTGCAGTGTTCGCCCAAGGCTAGAAAAAGCTAGCGCAAAGGCAACCTGTTGGGTGCCGGGGCTGCGGAGCGTGGTGAGATGTTACGATCCAATTGCAAGGTATGGAACTTGGAGTCTCACATTGAAAACTTAAGTTTCTGGTGTGAAGTTTATGTGGACTTTGGGCTCTCCTACCTTACCGGTTAGCTTTTGGGATGAGGTTCTCCCAAGGTTTGTATCAAAACTAGTAGCGGAAATAATATTTGAATAAGAGGGTGACAAGGTGATTTTTTCCCCTATGAGATATCAAAGAGAATTTAAAATAAATATCAACCTTACTGGTTTAGATGTTGAATCTCTAAAAAGATCTACTGAGATATTGAAAGAAGAAGGTAGAAACAGGTAGGGATAAAGTAAATATACATTAGTTCTCTAAAGATATATATGATATGACATCGGTTATCCATTTATAAGCACATTTTAGCTATCAAATTGGTCCCTAAAATGATATCTAACTGAAGGACGGAACTAATGGAATTAATTATTATTGAATGACCAATTTGATGTTACTGATAAATGAAAGACGAATTTGATGTTGAGTATATATTTGGACTTTGGAGGTCTCAAATGAATAATTAGTGGATAAAATTTTCTGCTGTCGTTTTGTTTTTTTGTTTTTATTTTTATTTTTGTTTGAGATGGGTGAGGAGTTTACAGGTCAAGGATACTTAACACGTTTAGTTAAATTTTATTGAGATTTGTAAAGAACCAATTCAACTCAAATGCTTAAACTGGTGGGTGAGACTACATTAATAGTTTTATATATCTCTACATACCCCCTCACATGAGAGTCCATTGGGCATGTTAGAATAGGAAATATTAGATATGATTAGATTACTTCCTATCTGTAAAGATTACTTCCTATCTGTAAATATTCCTTTTTGGATTAGATCTGGGCTTCTCACTTAAGTCCATTAGGGTCTCTATATATTGTAACTCTTTGTATTAGCTTAATACACAACACAATATTTTATATTCAAGTTGGTACCAGAGTTCTTTTGTTCTGGGGAACCTCGCTTTCGCTTAGAATCTTGTTTTCGCTTTAAAACCTAAGCCCACTGCTTAGGAGTCCTCTTTTCTTTGCCGTGCGTCCTTCCGGCAAGTCATCTAGGGTTGTAAGCCCCTTCTGAGTGATTTCTGAATGCGTCAGCACCTCCGACCACCATCGGAACCATCGTCCGTCACTGTTCCGGCCGCCGGAGAAGTTTTCCGGCGAGTTTTCAGCCCAGACAACCTGCGATCAGGATCCTCTCCTCCCGGCGACAAGTTCTGTGGAGGTCCGACCACCGTCGCGTCAGTCACGCGCCGCCCGTCTCCTCTGCGGGTGGTGCTCACGCGCCACCTTCAACCGGCACGTGAGCACTGTTCCGGCAGCTTTTTCCGGTCGTTCTTGGACAGAGAAGCTTGTTTCCTCCTCCTCTTTCCAGATCTGTGGTTGGTTCTTTGTGGGTCTCACTTTTTGTGCGTCCCTCTTCTTGATTTGCGGTCAGGTTAGTTTCTATTCGCTTGGTTGTTTATCCTTGTGATTTATTATAATGGAAGCATCTTCTCCAGCTCACTCGGAGACCAGTTCTCCCTCTCGTTCTGTCGAAAGTTCCCCTAATGTCATCTCCACCAATGTTGGGCCCATTACCTCTTCAAAGCTGAAGGGTTCTGTTAATTACAAGAATTGGGCCACCTTTGTTCGAGTTTGGTTCTTTGGACAGGGACATGGGAACCATCTCACAACTAAATCTATTGATATTCCTAAGGAAGAAAAATCTGATTGGGAAAGGATTGACAACCAGCTTCTGAGTATCCTTTGGCAGTCTATTGATCCAATCATCTTGGATATTTTCTATTTTCAAACCTGCAATGACATGTGGGAGGAAGCAAAACACCTCTACACTAATGATGTTCAGCAGTTTTATTCCATCATGTCTCAGTTTATGGATCTGCGCAAATCATCTGACACTCAGATTGAGACATATGTTGGCAAAAGTCGATCTTTGATGCAGGCATATTTGGATATGTTGCCCTACCCTACTGATGCTTCTGCATATCGGAAACAGGTGGAACGTCTCTTTATGGTTGCCACACTTTCTGGTCTCCCCGAAGAATATGATATTGTTCGAGATACTATCTTGACTAGTGAGGATCCTGATCTATCAATGACGTATCAGCTTCTTCTGAATCTTAATAAGAAATATGCTCCCGCATCGTCTTCTGTTATTGATTCCACTGCTCTAGTTTCTCGTACTTTCTTTCGCGAGAACATTGGAGGTGGTCGTGGTCGTGGTAGAGGCCAGGAGGACATGGCCAGGGAGGACGTGGCCCAGGAGGACGTGGTCATTATTGTCAGCAACTCGGTCATTATGAGGAACGTTGCTCCACAAAGTATCCTCACCTGCGACCTTCTCTTGCTGCTAATATAGCTCAATCGGATACTGCTTCAACTGGTACAGTCTCTCTCTCCTCTGAAGACTATGCAACACTCCAGACCCTTCTCAGGAAGGCCTCTCCTCAGTCTCAGGCCTCTCCTTCAGAAACTGGTAATCCCGTTGCTTATGTTTCTCATTCTGCATCACTTGGTCCTTGGATATTTGACTCAGGTGCTACTGATCACCTTTGTGGTAATAAGGAACTCTTTTCATCTCTTACATATTCTGATAATTTACCCTCTTTTACTCTTGCTGATGGCACTAAAGCCCCTGTTCATGGGATTGGACAAAATTTTCATGTAAAGAATCAATTCAACTCAAAAGCTTAAGTTGGTGGGTGAGATAACATTAATGATTTTATATATCTCTAACAAGTTTATTCACCAAAATTAAATAAATTATTGAGCTGCATGCATAAGAAACATATTTTCGTGCTAACCGGTTGGATGCTTTTCTTCATCATTCTCTTACATTGCTTATATTTAGTTCCCGTTTGATGCCTCAAATTTCTGACATTCCCTCCATAATATGTTGTTTGGTTGTTTACTCAGGTCCTGGTTCTCGGCCGAGAGAAAGAAGGTATACCCGTGGATATAATTCATATTTTGGATGCTTGCATCGAAATTCCCCAATTTGGGGTTGTTAGATCTCTCAACGTTCATGTCAGTGGCGCTATTGCTCTCTGGGAGTATACTCGACAACAGAGATCTCAATAGCCCATAATTGTGAGTGTAATTTTACAAGCCAATTACATTATATATTCCATATTACAAATTTTTGTTGTATTCTACACTTTGAAATAGTGGTTGAGGGTGTTGGACTAATGTCGCGTTGAGAAACTCATAATGGCTATAAAATTTAGAGTCCATTTATTTGCAGTAATCCATAACAGCTTTTCATACCTCTCAAATAATGATTCCTGTTACTTAGTTTACCGAATGGCTTTAAACTTTTAAATAACCTGATCTGCCGAATTAAGTGTTTATCCGTTTCAATAAATCTCTATGGTTGCGTCTCTTAAACAAAGATGCAGCTCAGACGGTGTCGCGTCCTTGATTCTTTAAACTTGACAGTATCCAAGTGTCAAATCTTTTCATCATCTCTTAATTTCGGTCCAGTCGCACTTTGCTACAGCATTGTATTAACCTCATACTATTTGGCCTTTGGATTAGTATTGTAACCTTTACGACAAGCTCTAAGCCGATTTCATTAATTTTTTTTAAACCCAAAAATAAAATAAAATAAAATAAAATGGTGAGATACTGATCCATCGTTCCCTACATGCATGACTGGATTAGTATTAAAGGAGGCACGTTGCACCTGCACCGTTTTTTGGAGGTAAAGAAGTTCGGAATCAATGTAGAAATTTGGCTATATATACAGGGGTAGGTTATATTTACAAATTTTTTTGTTTGCAAACTATGCTATCTTCTTTCGCGAGAACACTAGTTACACTATTTTCTCGCGGGAGAAGATACTGTAATTTGTAAAAATTTGTACAAAAAATTTGTAAACGGATCATTCCTTATATATATATATATATATATATATATATATATATATATATATATAAAATTATAAATTTTATGTTAAATGTTGCATACGTGTAATATGAAACTGAGTCTCCAATAAAGTAATATGTATTTTTTATTTTTTTTGGAATAAATGCTAGAGTGAACCCCACTTATTCCAAAATTTATAAGGGTTGCGATTCGTAAATGACAACAATGTGGATGCTGCAGTTTCAGCAATATGTAAATCGACTCGGCAGTAATTATTATGAAGGTAAGACCAGAACTTAAATTTGAATAACAACTATTCCCTATATCATATAGATGTTGTTTTTTTTTTTTTTTGATAACATCATATAGATGTTGTTAAATTTAGGTAAAATTCGAAAAGTATAAATAAGAGAAAAAATATATTTAGAATCAAATGTTAAGATTGTTAGGGAGAGATTAAAAGAGACAAAAAAATTTTAAAATAATAAAATTTTACATAATCAATGCAAGAGAATTTAAAACGCAAAATTTTTTAGAAAAAAGGTTAAGGATGACATGTCTCATTAAGGATTGAACTACTCTCAAAAGAATATACTCTAACTAATAAATATCACGTATATTGCATAATTATTTTTAAATTCAGGTAAGATATAGAAACAATTAAAAAAAGTTTTAAGAGAGAAAATATTTGAAATCATAAAGAAAATGTTTATTTAATTTAAAAGAATTTAAATTTATGATTTTAAATTTTCAAATATTCTGCTGGTCTTTATAATTTTACTGAAGTTTTAAATAAGTCCCAATAATTTAAAAAATTTAATGGAGTTCTTATATTTTTAAATATAAAATTATATAGAGCTATTTAAAAAGTCAAATTAAGTATAGGAATCTAGTTAATTGTGCTTTCTGTTACATAAATCTCTATAATTTATTTAAATTATCAAATAGGTTTCTATAATTTAACTAAAGTTAATGAAGCATTAACGACTGATATCGACTAAAAGCTTATTTTTAAACATTTAGATAAAAACTTTGAAACACAAAGGACTTATTTAAAAATTTAGTGAAATTACCAACACTTATGGAGTGATTTAACTTTAAAAAAAAGATAAGTTTTTTTTTTTTTTTTTGAAATCATAAAAAGAAGAAGAAGAAGATAAGTTAAGAAGATTACATATCATTCCTTTAAAATATTAATATCTTTATACTAAAGGATTTAATCACTTTAAAAAATAATAAATTCTAAGTGTGGATTTAATATATAAAAGTACATTACGTCATGGATTCCAGACAATACACCTTGAAAGAGGTGAACGACCAGCACAAAATTGAACCTCAAGCACACTTGCGTGTTGTTGAAAACACATTGGGAATGAGACTTCTTCCTCTCCTCACCTTATAGATTAATTAAAACATATATCAGAGTGGGCATAGTATAAGGGCTTATAATTAATAGCATATTATTGTAAAATTTGCATTCAAATACCTGTAATCTTTTCATTTCATTTCCTGAAAATCCTCCATGCACCTGTTTCTTCTTTTTCTCCTTTCCTTGGGAATTTGACCATGATCTTAAGAAGCTTGGAATCAGAAGTTTCCAATTGCCAAAGCAACCAGGTCTTGGCTTCTTCTTGGAAGGGACCATCTGCAAAAGGGTAAAAAAGAAAAAGATGTTTTTAATTGCATAATTCCTGACACTGAAATGATGTTGCAGTGCAATATAATAAAATTCAGGCACACCCCAGAAAATGGACTAAAAACCAAACCTTCATAACATTAAAAAAAGAAGATATTTTGTAGCTCTTCATGAAATTTAAAATATCATAAGCATCTAATTATTATCTACAATGTCAATGGTACCTGGGTTGGAGGTTGGGGATTGTTGTTTGCAAACCACTTGTTGAGTAAGGGTGTGGATGATTCTCCTCTTGCAGACTCTCTCAGATGATGCGAGTACATAAGCAACCTTGCTCTTCTATCATATCCCTTACTTGCAGAGCCATGAACTACCTCTTCTCTAACTGTGTGATGGATATGATAATGGTGGTGGTGGTGATGATGATGTTGTTCAATTGATGATGATACCCTCTTCCTAGGATTCTCAACATATACTCTCACTAACACTGCCTTATCATTGCGGTAAGTTACCTATAAATGATCACATGAGAAAAACAAATGTACTTCAAGCACAGAACACAACACAAAGACACTAACAAAAACCATGGAAGTAATGAAATTACCTTTTTGGTTGACATTTTGGGATAAGGAAGGAGCATAAGTTTTTTGAGAATTCAGATATATGTTTGGTTTTGCTCAAGTATTCTACTTGATAACATCATGCAGGCCTAGGAGATGTTGGCAATACCAATGAAGAAGTTAGTGTGATAGAAGAATGCATATATATATATATATATATATATTACTTTCTTTGGTTGGATCGATTTCTTTGGATAAAGCAGCATAATGTAATTATTAATCTATCGTTATAACCAATATTGGGGCCAATTGTGGTGCAACGACACCATCAGCTTAAACCTGGGATCTTATGGCCTGTTTGTCTTTTTTCTTTCCTTTGTTTTCTTTTCACTCGACAAAATTGAGTTGTTATATTCACCCACCTAGAGATCTTTTAATTATTTAACTATGGTCGTGATTCATGAATATTACATATTTTTCAGAAAAAACAAGTACATTTTTTTTTTTGTTAAAGTTGAAGCTTTTACAAATAATTATTTTGAGCTCTCAAAATGTGTTAATTATTGAAACTCTTAAATTAAAACTAGTATTGCAATAAATATTTATTAGAGTAAATATCATTTTTGGTCTTCAACAAATTTCATCATGCCCGCTTTAGTCCCTAGCAAATAAAAAGGCCCATCGTGGTCTTTAAGAAATTCAAAATGTACCCATTTTAGTCCTTTTAGGGACTAATATGGGTCTTTTTTGAATTTGTAAGGGACCACGATTTCAACTAAATGGATTCATTTTGAATTTTTTAGGGACCACGATGGCCTTTTTATTTGCTAGGGACTAAAACGGGTATCGTGAAATTTGTCGAGCACCAAAAAGAATATTTATTCTATTTATTATTTATGTTCTGTCCCATATCAAGGGGTGCTTCTGTCACCAATTTGAAAGTCACCAGACTGTTTATACGAAGGAGGTCTACTAGAGAGGAAGGACTTGCGAGAAAAAAGACCCATTTTTGGTTCTCCTTTATCTCTTGTTCTGTCGTTTCCATGTAGTCATTTTGGTTAGGGGGGTTTCTGCACTTGCTGTTGTAGCTCCCTAATCTTCATGAGGCTTTATAGGGTAGGGTGATCATGATCATTTGTAGATGATGAAGCTTGGTTCTTAGTTTGAACCATGTTAAGCATCAAGCTACAGTTGGGAGTTACTAATGAGCTTGTAGGATGGGAACATTTTATTACAACAAGTTTGGATAAACCAGTGATGAGTGATGCAATATTCATAGAAAACCAGTGAACTGGAAACCCAAGGGACACAACAAATGTTGAGCATATAAGGCTTGAGTTGAGTAGAGGATGTTATATGAAGACAATGGGTTATATTATATCACCAAGGCTTTGTTTGAGAGTTTGGAGGGGAGGGGAAGGAAGAGAATTCAAGGGAGAGGGAGGAAAAGGAAAGGAAGAAAATTGAAGGGTATTCCCTTCTATTGTTTGGGAGTTAAAAAAATGGTGAGGAAGGAAAATAGAGAATTAATGAGATATTTTTATCATTTTATCTCATTTTTAAAATAAATATAATTATTATATTTAAAAAATTAAATTAAATTTAAAATTTCTAACAAAATTATTTATGTACTTTTCGCAACACTAAAAAAGATCATATTTTTGACAAAATTTCTATGATGCAAATTATGAAAATTTCGTCACAATTATTTTTTCGTCAGAATACTTTACATTGAAAAGCGATGAAATTTTTTCTCTGATAAAAATTTTCACAAAAAAAAAAATTTCTATCAAAATTTTCGACGAAATTTTATTTTTGTCAAAAGTTTTGACAAAAATGATTTCCTCCATCAAATGTTTTAAAAGAAAAAGGAATTCCATCGAAAATTTTGACGGAATGTTTTCCATTCAAAATTTCGATGGAAATTGTTTTGTCAAAATTTTTGAGGGAAATGTTTCATTCGAAACTTTCGATGAAATTTAGATTCTGTAAAGAATTTTGACATAATATTTTTTCCGTCATAATTTTTTATCGAAATATCTTTCGTCAATTTTTTAGATAGAAATATTTTCTGTCAAAATTTTTAGACAGAAATGTGTTCTGTTGAAAATTTTGATGGAAATGTG